CAGTAGGGTTTGAATGCTTAGCAGTTTAGTTTGAGAAAGGACCTCAGTGTCCAATACCTTATTCTGCCAGGTGATCTTCAGAATCTTCCTAAGACAATTCAAATGGAAGCCATTCAGTTTCCTGGCATGGCGCTGGTAGACTATCCAGGTTTCATAGGCATACAGCAATGAGGTCAGCACAACAGCTCTGTAGACCTTCAGTTTGGTAGTTTAGTCTAATGCCTCTTCTCTCCTACACTTTCCTTCAGAGCCTCCCAAACTCTGAGCTAGGTCTGGCAATGCCTGTATCAACCTCATCATCCATGTGGACATCCCTAGAAAGTATACTGCCAAGGTAAGCGAACTTATCCACAACATTCAATATTTTTCCATTTGTTGTTACTGATGGTTCTAAATATGAATGGTGTAGTGTTGTGTTTTCTTGGTATTAATTGTCAAGCCAAAATTAGCACAAGTGGCAGAAAATTGATCCATACTCTGTTGTATCTCAGCCTCAGAGGCTGCATTGAGTGCACAATTCATCTGCAAACAAAAAGTCATGCACCAACTCTCTCTCCACTTTAGTATTGGCTTGTAGCCTTTTTGAGTTAAATAATTTACCATCAGTGAGATAGTTGACCTTTCTTCCTCATTCAAGGCATCTGGCAACATCTGGCTAAGATACCTAGGAAGAAGCAGACAGCCTTGCTTCACTCCATTGACTGGGAGAGCATGAGAGCATTGTCCATTATCCAGAACCCACACAAACATGCCATCCTGAAACTGACATACAATACTGATGAACTTCTCTGGGCAACCAAATTTTGCTGTAATTTTCCACAAGTTCTCATGACTGACAGTATCAAAGGCCTTGTTCAGATCAAACTCTACTTTGGAGAATGCAACTTGGATGGGCTGGCCACATTGTTTGAATGCCAGACATACGTTTGCCTAAAAAAATTATTTTACAGAGAACTCACAGAAGGCAAGCGCTCACAGGGAGATCAGAAGAAGCAATACAAGCATACTCTCAAGGTCTCTCCAAAGAACTTTGGAATCGACTGTGAGACATGGAAGAAATCCAACATGGCATGCCCATATCAAAGAAGGAGCTGTGCTTTATGAGCTAAGCAGAATTGTAGTAGCTCAAAAGAAACATGAGGTGCACAAATTGGGAGACATCTCCACTCCAAATGTTCATACGGACTATTTGTGCAAACCTGTGGTAGCAGCTTCCAAGCTCCTTTTGGTCTGATCTGCTATAGTCAGACACACTGCACCTTGACTCCAACATAGTGATATCATTTTGGCCCTCTTTGAGAATGAAGGACAAAACCAACCAACCAACCATGTGCCAGGCACTATGCTAAGCACTTTACAATTATTAATTCAGTTGATCCTCACGAGTACCTGAGATGTAGATGCTATTATTATCCTCATTTTATAGAATGGGGAAAACTGAAGCAAATTGAGAAACTGATGGGGAAACTGAGGCAAGCAGTGGTTGAGTGACTTGCTACATTCATTCATTAGCAGGTGTATATATATGTAGATATATATTGTGTGTATATATATACATATGTGTATATACGTACATACACACACACATACACACATATAGCGGATGCCATGTACCAAGCATTGTACTAGCCACTAGGGATACAAAGACAAAGTAGTACCTGGTGTCAAGGAACTTACAATCTATTGGGGGGGTGAAGACTGAGAACTAGAATTATATAGTGCTTTAAGATTTGCAAAGCACTTTACAAATATTATTTCATTTGACCCCCCCCACAACAACCTTGAGATATAGGTATTATTATCCCCATTTTATAGATGGGGAAACTGAGGCAAAGGTTAAACACCTTGTCTGGGCTCACACAGATAGTATCTGAGTCAGAAATTGAGCTCAGGTCCTCCTGACTACAGTTGAAGCTGTCTATTCACTGTGCCATCTGCCTACCTCTTAACACATACAGAAAAATAAATATTTACACACAAAAAAATATACAAGGTAATTTCCAGGGGAGAGGGCACTACCAGTTTGGGGCATCAGGGGAGGCTTCCTGGAGGAGATGTCTCTAAAAGAATTTTGGAATTCCATGAGTCAGAGGCAAAGAATGTATTCCAGGAACACAGGACAACCTGAGCCAAAGCATGGAAATAGAGATGGAATGCTGTGTAGGGGAGATGGCAGGTGGGCTGTCTGGGCTGAAACTTGAGTGTATGAAGGAGAATAATGTTCTATGTATCTGGAAAAGTGGCTGGAGTCTGCAGGTGAAGATCTTTAAACACCAGATGATTTTAGAGGCAAGAGGGAGGGACCAGAACCTCTTGAGCAGGGGAGGGGCATGGTCAGATCTATGCTATGGGAAAACCATTTTTTTATGTATTTAACATGCAATACATTCTCTTCTGCTGCAGTCTCTTGTTTTACACGATTTGGCATTGTGCTCACCAAATTTAACATGCCTTCTTTAATTCTTCATCAGGAAACTGCACATGGCATTGGATATTAAGTGGATATCTGACAAACAGTCCTTGTTTTTCAGTTCTAATGTTGATTGTATCCAATAAGGCTTTTTCCCCCACTTTCCTCATTTTATTTCATTTTTCAATTAATAAGCATTTATCCTTCCACCCTACCCCAGTTTTAAAAGAAAAAAGAAAGACAATAGCCTTGTAAGAACTATGCATGGTCAAGCAAAACAAATAAGGATGCTTATGTTAGCAGCTGTGAGTAAAATGAATTGGAGAAGCATAAGAAGGTAAGCAGGGAGCCCAATTAGAAGACTGCTGCAGCATGTAGTATTCCAGGTGAGAATAGGCTAGCCGTCAGGTGAGAAAGAGCTAGAGGAAAGCGATCAGAGAGCAAGACGCACAAAACCCAGCTGTGGATTGTGGACACAGCTCAGCAAGAAATGAGGAAACAAGGCTTAGAGAGGGTAATGACTTAGGCAGCACCACTCAGCTAGTAAGTGGCAGTCAGGATTTGAACCCAGGACCTTTGGCTCTCAATTCAGTGCTCTGTCCAATGCACTCCACTTGCCACTTCTAACCTCTGTTTGTGTGTGTGTGTGTATACATATATGCACATATAGATGTGTGTGTACATTTTCATGTAATATATGTGTATACATGCATGTGTGTATAGGATATTTTTGTTATTGTTGTTGTTTCTGACTCTGTGACCACATCTGGGGTTTTCATGGCAGAGATACTGGAGTGGTTTTGCCATTTCCTTCTCCAGCTCCATTTGACAAATGAGGAGACTGAGGCAAACAGTATCAAGTGACTTGCCCAGAGTCACATAGCTATAAGTGTCTGAGGCCAGATTTGAACTCAGAAAGTCTTCCTCACTCCAGGTCCGGCACTCAATCCACTCCACCTAGCTGCCCCAATATGTGATATATATAATATAGTATATGACATATTGCATGTATATTAATAATGTAATAATTGATGATAATATACTAACATAATATTAATATGATATTATATATATATATATATTTAAAACAGCTACTCAGTGGCAAAGTTGGCTCTAGTACCAAGTTCTCCTGACCCAAACTGGTGCTGCTTTTCCCACCAAACTATATTGCCTTCTCCACAGAATGAGTAACTGGGCGGAGGAGGAGGAGTAGAGAAGAGGACCCCAGTTTGATTTCCTCAGGCAAACCACTTACCCTCTCTGGGTTTCATGGGATTCTAGATTTACAACTAGAAAGGACTTTAGATATCATCTAGTTCAACTCCTCACTTTACAGATAAGGAAACTGAGGCTCAGGTGAAGTGACTTGCCCAAGGTCACACGGGCAATAAGTGACAGACCCAAGGATTGATTCCAAAATCAGCACTGTCCCCCTAGCATAGCTGCCTCTTTTTCTCTTTTTTTTTTTCCTTTTTGGTGAGGCAACAGGGGTTAAGTGACTTGCCCAGGGTCACGCAGCTATTACGTGTCAATTATCTGAGGCTGGATTTGAACTCCGGTCCTCCTGACTCCAGGGCGGTGCTCTCCGTCCACTGCACCACCTAGCTGGCCCTCTTTCTGCCTCTCTTAAAAGTGACTTGCCCAATCAAGATTACACAGGTAGAAAGGAGCTATCCCCAGATTCAAGCCCGGGTTCTTTGATTCCAGATTGAGGGTTGCAGATTGCAGAGAATCCTAAATCTACATCTGTAATCCAAGTGATATAGCTCATTTTATCCTACCCCTTCTTATTTTACTGAGGGAAAAACCGAGGTCCAGAGAAGTGAAAGGACTTGCCCAAGGTCACACAGTTACTAGTGATGGACTTAGGATTCAAACTCAGGTCTTGGGTCTCCAAAGTCAGAGAACTTTCCTCTCCACTTCGCTGCCCAAGGTCACACAGTTACTAGTGATGGACTTAGGATTCAAACTCAGGTCTTGGGTCTCCAAAGTCAGAGAACTTTCCTCTCCACTTCGCTGCCTCTGTTTCCCCATCTGTAGAGTGAGGAGGTGATACTCGATGTTCTCTGGTTCTCTTCCAACTCTCATTCCTATCATCCAATGAGGGGCCAGAACTTTAAAAGCTTAACCGTTTTTAAATATGGTGGGGGAAGGGGACTAGGAAGATGGAGGAAAGGACACCCCCTCCCCCCAGCCTCCAGTCCCTTCCCAGGACCAGAAGCTCCGGAGAGCCGCGGTGCTGCGGTGCCGGACTCCGTGCAGTGCCCAAGGAGGGTTGGGAGCCTTTTCTGACCTCTAGGTCTGCGCCTTCTGGTGTCTCTCCCGCAGTCTGGGGAACACGGCAGGCTCTTGGACCCGGCGGACGCGCCCGCCCGCCTCTCTCCATCTCTATATTAGCCAGAGCTCCCTCTCTCCACGTACAGTACTTTTGGCTTCCTCCCCGCTGGCCACAGGGCTCGCTGCTGGGGCGCAGTCCGGGCTGCAGTGCTGAACCGGCGCTGGATCCGGCTGAGGAGCACGACCGGCGGGGTCTGCTGCTGCTGGGGCGCGCTGCCCCGAGGTGCTGTCCTCCGAGCGCCCCCCGCCTGCACCTGCGCTCCCCTACCCATCGTGGGGGCACCCCAGGGCAGTGGAGTAGAGGGGTGTCCGCGCGGGCTGCTCCCCAGCGCTGTCCCAGGCCGGCGCAGCCCCTCCTCGCCTAGCTCCCTTCTGGAAGGATGGGCTCTTCCCAGTCCATGTCGGAGGAGGTCCGGGAACTCGTGGGCAAGACTGGTTGTGAGTACCCCCTGGGGTGGGGCCGGCTGCCTGCTGGGGCTCCCAGGGCAGGGGGCTCTCCCTTCTGCCCTGCGAGGGCTCCCGGCTTCGTTCGCGATTGCCCTGACAGGACCCTCACTGCTTGGGGTCGACCCACTTTCTTGTCATTCCTCTTGAAGAGGGAGGAGAAGGGCACAGAGGGGCCAGTCTGGAGGTGAGAGGTGTTCGGGGAGACCTCAGCGGTGCGGGGAAAGTGGACGTGAGAGTGCCAACAACTATCACAACTACTAGGAGAGAGGGTGTGTGATGGAGTGGGTGGAGAACTGGGCTCAGAGGCAGAAAGTCCCGGGTTCGAGTACGCCCCGGACCCAAACTAGCCGTGTGACGCTGTGTGTGTGCCCCCAGACAGCTCCCGGAGACTGGAAGTTTCAGGCACCGGGCAGGGCCGGTCTTCCTCGGTAGAGCCAGCTCCCTGAAATGAGGAAGTCTCAGGACTGGACCAAAGATTAAACAAATAAAATTACTGTCATTTATCCAGCACTTTTAGGCAAATAGGGTCAGTTTGGAGCAAGACAACGTGTTGAGGTGGGCTAGATCGGAAAGTCAGGAAAGCCTGGATCCTAGAACAGCAGCCTTGACACAAATAGGCTGTTTGACTATAGGCAAATCACTTAACCTCTCCATGCTGCCTGGCAACTCTGAAACTGTTGGAAATGAGTTGCTTTTCTGCATGGGTGCTAGTTCACTGATAAAACAAGACCAGATTCCCCCCCCCCCCCCCCCCCACCCCCCCCCCCCCCCCAAAAAAAAAAAAAGTAGAGACACTTTGCTTTTGGGTTTTCGATCTGTATCACTGGAGGGAGTTTCCACACCAGGAAGTCCCTCCCCCCATAAAGTGCCAGGTTCAGAACACAAGGTGCAAAGTGTTTTACATACATTATCCCACTTGATCTTAACTACAAGCCTGTGAGGCAGGTACTACAGGCATTGCTATTATCTCCATTTTACTGATGAGGAAACTGAAACTCAGAGACAAGTCAAGGAGCATTGCTTCTTGGCCCTATAACTAATAAATGTTGGAGGTGAGATCTGAACCCAGTTCCCTCCTGACTTCCCTGGAGTCTGAGCCAAAACCTAGAAATTCTAAGTTCAACTCTGCAATTTAATGGCCCTGGGGCCAACAGCTGTCCTCTTTCTCTGACTCACCTTCCTGATCTGTCAAAATGAATAGGTAGGCTAGGAGATAGCCCAGCTTCCTTCCTACATCATACTAGAGTGGAAAGAACACTGGCTCTGGATTCAGAGGGTGTGGGTTCAAATCCAGACTTGGCCCTGCCCGTACGACCCTCGGCACCCTGGGCCTGAGGGGGCTGACCCTGGGATTTTCTTTGCCATTCAGCTTTTCTTCAAACAGTGGGCTTGGCTGATAAGCTGAGGGTATGCCCGGCTCCGTTCTGAGTGACTGGTATTGAGACATGAAGCCAGAGCGTTGAAGGACGCACTGTATTTGAAGAGGTAGAAACTCTCTCTAAAAGAGGGTCCTAGTTTACAGACATGCTGATGACACCAAGGGCAGCAGAAGACAAGCTTCCTTCCTTATTTCACCATCCCTGGCAGGGGGTGGGGGGAGGGCTCCTTGGTACAGAGTTTCTGTTCTTATCATGTGCTTGCAGCTCTGCAATAGAGAGCCCCAGACTGGGGGCAGAGGGGAAAGGGGGAGAAACATACAACTTGGCTTCCTAAAAGGGGCACTTTTTTCTTTTTCGGCAATTGGGGTTAAGTGACTTGCCCAGGGTCACACAGTTAGTAAGCATTAAGTGTTTGGTCTGAGGCCAGATTTGAACTCAGGTCCTCCTGACTTCAGGGCTGGTGCTCTATCTACTGGGCCGCCTAACTGCCCCTAAAAGGGGCACTTCTAGGATAGCAGTCTTCATTCTATCATCTATCAGCCAACCAGCCAACCCTTATTCAGCACCTATTGGAGCTGGTCTAGGTATGGGAATACAAATGAGATAACATATATAAGGGCGGCTAGGTGGCGAAGTAGAGCACCAGGCCTGAAGTCAGGAAGACCTGAGTTCAAATCCACCCTCAGACACTCACTGGCTGTATGATCCTGGCTGGGCAAGTCACTTAACCCTGTTGGCCTCAGTTTTCTCATCTATAAAATGAATGGGAGAAGGAAAATGGCAAAACACTCCAATATCTTTGCCAAGAGAACTCCAAATGGGGTCACAAAGATTTGGGCACAACTGAAACAACTGAACAACAACATATGTGAAGTGCTCTGAAAACTTTAAAATGCTAGCTATTGGCTATTACTGTTATCGGAAGATGAAAACCAAGCAGTTCCTGCGCTCAAGGAGCTTCCACTGTATTGAGGGGAAAATCAGCCAATCAACTGATCACTCCTGGTGCCAGACACAGGAGTGCCATTTCTAGAGGGGGGCGGGGGTTCACTACCAGGGGTGGGGATCCTGTGGCCTCAAGGTCACATGTGGCCCTCTAGGTCCTCCAGTGTGTTGCCACACTTGGTGTAGGCCTGTACTGGGTACACAGGAAAATACTAAGAATGTACAAAGTGGTTTGGGTTTGGCCAGTGACTGTGATTTCATGGTTCTGGGGAGCTTCTGGTTCCCCAATCAGAAGCTGAGTTCCCTTTTCTGGAATTCTCTGGGAAAGTCATGTATGTGACTTATACAAAGTTCTGTGAAGCCATTTGAAGGACAGAGTTGTAATAACCAAGGGGAATCTGGCAAGGCCCTATTTGGGAGGTGACAACGGAACAGTGATTTGAAGGATTGTGGGGATTTGTAGTCAAGTTGACTATGTATAAACTGCGGATATGAAGAAAGATTAAAAAAAAAAACGAAGCACCATGCCTGCCTTCAGGGAGCTTATAGTCTAATGGAAAAGAACATGAAAACAACTATGTGCATACAAGATATAGGTGGGATAAGTTAGAGCTGGAAGGGACCCTGGAGTTCTCTAGTTACCTAGCAGATAAGCAATTAATCTGGAGTCAAGAAGTTTTGAGTTTGAATCTGGAGAATGAAAGACCAGTTCAAATCTGGCCTTGTGTGACTCTGGGCAAGTCACATTGTCTATCTCAGTTTCCTCCTCCACAAAATGAGGATTATAACGGCACCACTTGCCCAAGGTTTTTGTGAGTCTCAAATGAGATATTTGTAAAGTGTTTTGCAGACTTCAAAAGTGATTGTTACTAGAGTGAGCAGCCCCCTGCATTTATGGCTCAATTGATCGACAAACATTCATTAAACGCCTACTGTGTGCCAGGTACAGTGGAGGAAACTGAGGCCGGGAGAGATTGAATGATTCGCCTGAGGTGTCCCAGGTAGAAAGTAGCAGATGGAGGATTCTAACAGGCCAAGGATGGGGGGAGGAGCAGCCTGTGTAAAGCTGCTACTCCCTTGTTCACCAAGCTGGAGTTGGCTTGCCATTCAGTCCCAGCAGGGAGGAACCAAACAGCCCACAGAGGTGACCCAGCTCCCTTCAGAGCCACTGAACGGGCAAGGCCAGTCTTATCAGCACATCTGCCATCGGCAGAGCTGTCCCTCACGGTGACTCTTTCAGGTCCCTTTGGAACTCCTGCTTCCTCCCAGAGCAGCTGAGCTATTTTTGGAAGGGCCTCATCCTTCCAGGCCAGTGCCTCCACCCCTGGAGGTTTCCCAAGGCCCTCCTGGGATGCCCACTGGCCAGAGGTCTGAAAATGACCACTCTTTGTAAAGACCAAGAGCCTTCAGCTACTTCAGAGGGGATGAGCTCGATACAGAAGGATAATGACTGACCCAAAGGCAGGTAGAAATCTGGGGAGCATTGAGCTCTACCAATAGTTCTGAGCTTTACTCACCCCTTTCTTTATAAGGACCTGTGATGATGTCGTTAGTGCATTCCTGGTATGGGAAGTCCCTCCAGCAATACAGAGCACCACTCTTGTAGAATGTATAGCCTTAGAGTTACTTTGGGCACTGAGAAGGTGACTTGCCCAGGGTCACACAGGCATTATGGGTCAGGCAAAACTTGAACCTAAAACTTGACAGCAAAGTCAGCTCTCTATGCATCTGTCTATAAATCCTAGCTGAAGAGTTGGAAAGCACCAGAGTTTCCTTCAAAGCCCAGTTCGGAGGAGCTCCCTCCTACCTGGCATCTTTCTTGAGCCCTGCCTCCCCCCTCTTCTAGTGCCACCCCCACATCACTTGTATTCATTCTGCTTATATGCATTTTGTGCCCATGCTATCTCCACCAATAGAACGTGAACTGAGGACCAGGACTGTTTGGTCTTTGTAGCTTCAGGGCCTGGCACACAGTAGGAGCTTAATAAATGCTCATTGATTTATTGATTGAATCAAACCCATTCATTTTCCTCTCTGTAAAGATTAGGGATATGAGATTTTGAGCTGGGCACCATTCAGAAGCTCCAAAGGAGAGAGAACAGGGCATTCAGGTTACCCATTCACCCAAGTCAGCTCCTCTAAACCAGAGACTGGTTCAAGAGGAAGGATGGCTGAGTTAAAACCTCCAGAAATTGTATTGTTTGAGAGGTAAGAGAAATGCAAATCCTTCCCTAGGATTTAGGGTTCGGGTTTTCTGTCTTCGGGTGTCCAGATGAATTTTGCTGTATCGGATGTGATCAAAGTCAAGGTGAGAAGGGAGGAGAGAATCCTATATCCTTGGCTTACAGAATTTCTGCAGCTTTTATCATTCAAATAAAAGCCCTGGGAGCAGTGTGGTTCAGAGGGGGAAAGAAAGTTGAATTGAGAGTATTTAAATTCAAATAACAACTGGGCTTAGAATCTCTCTGAGCCTCAGTTTCCTTATCTGTAAAATGAGAGAATTGCACTGGATAATCTCTAAGCCCCTTTCTGGCTCTAAATCAATGATCCAAAGACATGAATTTGAATTCTTCATCTTCCACTTACCTTGGACAAGTCACTAGTGCCTTCTCTCTAAGGTTACCTTCCATCTATATGATCTATATCCTTTATGTATATAGTTGTTTG